AACCAACCAACCAACCAACCAACCAACCAACCAACAAACAAAAACCTTTCATCTCTCCCTCTTGTTTGACCCAATAATTCTGCCTCTGGTTAACTCTCTCAAGGAAAAGACCCTGCAAGGATGATCATAGCACATTTGGTTATAGGGAACAAGTTTATCACTCAACAAATGCTAAAAAACGGATGCATCTGATGAAATATCCAGCTGGAATTTAAAATCCTGTTCTATGGCAATCAGCAAGATCGAGAGTGGAAAACTCCACCAGACAAACTACTCATTTTTTCTTTCTTCTTTTTTTTTTTTTTACATTGCTGTCATTGATTTATTTTGAATTTTTAATTCATAAATAATTATATATGCTTATGGGCTATAATATGATGTTTTGACTTATGTTGACATTGTGGAATAATTTTTTTTTTTTTTTTTGCTCTATTGCCCAGGCTGGAGTGCAGTGGCCCGATCTCGGCTCACTGCAAGCTCTGCCTCCCGAGTTCACGCCATTCGCCTGCTTCAGCCTCCGGAGTAGCTGGGACTACAGGTTCCTGCCACCACGCCCGGCTAATTTGTTTTGCATTTTTAGTAGAGACACAGTTTCACCGTGTTAGCCAGGATGGTCTCGATCTCCTGACCTCGTGATGCGCCCGCCTCAGCCTCCCAAAGTGCTGGGATTATAGGCGTGAGCCACCGCGCCTGGCTGACATTGTGGAATGATTAAATCAAGACAATTAACATATGCATCACCTCACATACCTATCGTTTTTTGGTATGAGAACTTTTAAAATTTATTCTTTTAGCAATTTTGAAATACATAATATAGGCCAGGCACGGCGGCTCATGCCTTTAATCCCAGCACGTTGGGAGAACGAGATGGGCAGATCACCTGAGGTCAGGAGTTAGCGACCAGCCTGGTCAACATGGTGAAACCCCGTCTCTACTAACAATACAAAAATTAGCCGAGTGTGGTGGCAGGTGCCTGTAATCTCAGCTACTGGGGAGGCTGAGGCAGGAGAATCACTTGAACCTGGGAGGTAGAGGTTGCAGTGAGCTGAGACCGTGCCACTGCCCTCTAACCTGGGTGACAGAGCAAGACTCCATCTCAAAAAATAAAAAAAGAAAGAAATATGTACACATATATTTATAATATATTTATATAAAAGGCTACTATCTCCTCTGTTTTAGGAAAATGTTAGCCTTCTATATACAATTATCCATATTTGCATGTGTGTATGGGTGTTTATATGTGTATACACAAAATCATACATACAAATGTACAAACATAAATGCATCAAATGCATCTGTATGTGTATGATAATTTTGTATTTGCATAAAATATTCCTGGAAGGTACCTAACAAACTCATAGCATCCGTTACATTTGAAAACAAACGTATGCGAGGCTTAACACCTAGGTGATGGGTTGATAGGTGCGGCAAACCACCATGGCACATGTTTACCTACGTAACAAACTCACACGTCCTGCACATATATCCCGGAACTTAAGATAAAGTCAAATTTATTTATTTATTTAGAGACAGAGTCTCACTCTGTTGCCCAGGCTGGAGTGCAATGGCCCGATCTCGGCTCACTGCAACCTCTGCCTCACGGGTTCAACTGATTCTTCTACCTCAGCCTCCCAAGTAGCTGGGATAACAGGCACCGGCCACCACGACTGGCTAATTTTTTATATTTTTAGTAGAGACGGGGTTTTGTCATGTTGGCAAGGCTGGCCCTCCTCGGCCTCCCAAAATACTGGGATTACAGGCGTCAGCCACTGCACCCAGCCTAAAATAAAATAAAATATTTTTAAAAAGGAGAAAGAAACCAAGTGACTGGGAAGCCGAGGCAAGGAGACTTTTCAGTTTATCCTCTTCTATCTTTTGAATTTTGAGCCAAGTGAAGGTCTTGTCTATTCAAAACAGAAATCATTTCTAACAGAGAAAATAGTGGAGGTACTAGACATCACTGTAAATGAGGCTTTCTGGCCGTGGCGCCCAGGCTGGAGTGCAGTGGTGTGATCTCGTCTCGCTGTAACCTCCGCCTCCGGGGTTCAAGCAATTCTCCTGTCTCAGCCTCCCTAGTAGCTGGGATGACAGGCTCCCACCACTACGCCTGGCTAATTTTTGTATTTTCTAAGTAGAGACAGAGTTTCACCACGTTGGTCAGGCTGGTCTCAAACTCCTGACCTCTGGTGATCCACCTGCCTGGGCCTCCCAAAGTGCTGGGATTATAGGTGTGAGTCACCAAGCCAGGCCTAAATGAGTCTTTCAAAGAGGACTTTAAGAAGCATTGTAGTAAGCGTTTGCCTACGGATATCAATTTAAAATGCAGAAAGCACTCTCCTAAGGTAATGTCGGTGGCCAATTGGGGTTTAAGATAAAACCTCCAGTGCACATTAGCAAAGATGATGTACTCTGCAGATCGGTGAAGCCTTTCAAAGGCGCTGCCAGTGATGATGGAGGCACTGATGGAGAAGATGCTTTAAGTAGTTTTCAGAAAAGTTTCACAAAATGTAAGCAGGAAGGAAAACAA